CCCCAAAAAAAAATTAAAGTTGAAATTATTATTATTGTTACAAAAAAAATGTTTAATGGTTTAAAGTGGAAGTAACATTTTGTCAAAACCAATGCAGTGCAAAACTTTGATAGGCTTTTATGAAACTGTAGAAACAGCATTATGAGAACTCTGAATCTATTCTCTGAAAGAAAATATTTTATATTAAGTGGCTTTTGTTCAAATAAAAGCAAAAAGAGTGTTTAGAAGATAAATACAAAAAGGAATAAGGCATTTCAATGTAGTGCTACTGTAGTAAAAGCCATGTCTGACCTTGAAGGACTGGACAAAAGTCCAGAGCAGAATACGAATGGTGTAGCCCTGACGCAGAAGTTTAATCAGCCGAGCTGCCCGGAATAACTTCAGGAAGCCCATATTAAAACCCTGCAAACCAATCAGAACACAGAGGTGATTGTTTGTGCAAATAAATACTGGACAAAAACCAATCAGTATATAAAGGTCATTGCTTGAGGAAATAAATATGGAGTACAAGGCAATCAAAACACAAAGAAGCTTGCTAGTGCAAATAAATACTGGTTAAAAAGCAATTAGAATACAGACGTAATTGCTCATGCAAACGACTACTGCCTACAAAGAACACATACTGTATATGAGGCTGACTGATTTCTCACTTTTACAGTGTGGACTTTGTCAACCACAATTTCAGTGATGCTTCCTAGGACTGTGATGAAGTCAAATATATTCCATGTGTCTCTGAAATAATTCTGAAAGATATAAAGGTAATAATGAATGCTGGAAATGCATTTCGTTGTATATATATATGTACACAGTGTATATATATATACAGAGAGAGATTATCATATTCCCAGTGTGTGCTTACCATAATTCCAAATGCCAGGATCTTGAGAACACATTCCACAGTGAAAATAACAGTGAACACAGTGTTGAGGTATTTTAGCGCATTGTCATAACCTTCAATACGAGGATCATGATGCTGATAGAAAGCAAAAAAGAGAGACAAACATAAACTTCATGAACTTCTATGTGAATCACATGATGATCAAGCATTTTGAACTTCCATTGACGCAACTCTTTCTCAATAGCTCTGTTAGAAACCCTACACATCTGCCTAGCAATGTCTTGGCAACCACTGAGTATGGCAATAACTATGTAACACAAGTATACAAAGTACAGAGAGCCTTTAAACTTCAACTATTTCTTAAAACTGCCCAAGTATTCAAACTACTTAAGACCTAATTATAAAACAGACATTCCTTTTCTACTAATGTCACTTAGGCCATGCAGGCTTACAGATAATGTTAAGCAATAGCCAAATAGCTATTTACAGTAAGCATCATTTTACGCATATTCAGGTCTAGAGCCATTCTATTGTGGAACACCTACATTTCACGATAAAATTATAAACTTGACGGATGCTAATATGCCAATAAAGCACTTTGAAAATTAAAACTGAAAACTAAATGAATAAGACAGACAAAGAGAAAGGAAACTGCTCACACTTCAGTTCACTACCTAAAAATATCTGTGCTCTATTACTCTCTCTGTGCTCCAGTGTTAGGCAGACCACTGCAGACATGATGACTAGTGGAGACCGACCTCTAACTCCAGGTGAAATTAGTCACGGGAGATGTCGGGCTAAAGCTAATGAGGAAAAGTGAAATAGTAGCTGGTGCTTCAGATCAATATTTTATAAGCTGTGACTCATGGCTGTCTGGTTTTCTAGCAGTATCACAGACCAGGGGTCACCAGCAAGGGCTGAAAAACAGCTAAATCAACCTAATTTACTTTGACAAACACACATAGAGAAAGAGGTATTGAGAAAGAGGTATATACTCACAGGCTTAAAATAAGTTTACATTTAATTTTCATAACCAAGACACCTAAAAGAATAATATTTCCTTCCATTTCTGTCATTATATTTAAGGCATAATGTACGGTTACTGCAAGTAAACCCTTTCTGCTTCAGCATACCTCAACGCAAAGTGGAGGGAAAGTATTTTTGCATGGCTATTAATAAGATAGATAAATGAATGAATGAATAAATAAATAAACAGATCACAGTGCAGCAACATAAAGAAATTCCTCCTTACCTTCATCATGAGAACAATGGTGTTAAGGGCGATCATCGTCAGTATGGTGTATTCAAATACGGGAGACACCACAAAGTGCCACAGCCGGTACTGTAAGGTCTGTCTGTTCTGAGGCATATAGCGAGTCAAAGGTTTGGCACTGATGGCAAAGTCGATACAAGCCCTCTAAGAGAGAAATATACAGTAAGAATGTTTCTCGCACATTTGCAATTAACCTCACATAAGATTACATAAGATTGCTTGCACTTTTGTGCATGATTCAGGTCACAATGTCTGAGAAAAAAAGCTAATATGACGTTATTGATAGTTAAAGGGATAGTCTACCCAAAGAATGATTTCAGGTTCCACTGACTTCCATAGTATGGACACAAAATACTATGAAAATCAATGGGACCCAAAACAGTTTGGTTACCAACATCATTCAAAATATCATCTATCGTGTTCGGCAGAAGAATTAAATGCATTCAGATTTGTAACGACACATGGGTGAGTAAATGACAGAATTTTTTTATTTTTCTGAGTGGACTGACAGAGGGCATGACAGAGAAAAAAAATAAATAAATAAGCACACATATACTGTGAACTTTGGTCAGATGAGATGTTGTCAGGTCATATGTCAGTAAAAACTAATTTTCCTGTCCTGTCAGCCGTTATGCTGTGCTCGTAGCACGTGCTCTTCAATTGCATGCACAAATGCTGTTGCACGCTCTGTATATAACTTCATATTAAATCGCAAATGAAACTACAAGCAAGCATGTCGTAGTTATGTCATCAGTTAAGTCATGAAGGTACCAAAAAGGCGATTAAAGCTGCCTTAAACTGTGCATGTAAGTGTTTGTTATATATGAGTCACATTTAAGAACATGTCTCTACAATGCAGTGGTTTTCAAAACTGTCCTGGAGCACCCCAGCACTGTCTCCTTCATCTAACACACCCGATTCACTGTCAGCTCATTAGTAGAAATTTTAAGACCTGAAGTGGGTCAGAAAAGCAAAGAGTTGTGAGAAAATACGATGCGTGTCAGATCTGCGTCATGTTCAGCAACGGCAGCTCTTAAAGCAGCCAAAATAACCTAATAACCAGCTGCTGTGATGTCTGTAAATCAAAGAACAAAAGAAAAAAGAGGAAATCAATAACTTTTGTAGCTTTAAGGATTCAATATTTAATTTTGAATTTAGTATTTGATAACTTTATCAAATTTCTGCATATTTCCTACCAGTGGCGGCTCGTCGGGGGAGGCAGGGGAAGCACAGCTTCCCCATAATTTTGAGATACTTGCTGAAGGGTATCAGTGATATTCACCTTCAGTCATAAAAAGATGTCATTAAATATTAAAAATATACTCTTAATGTTAGTCTTAATGTTGTTTCTTCATCAATTTAAAGATTAAATATGAAATTATTTCAATATAAAAGTATATTTAATCACTTTAACGTTAGGTGGGATTAATCGCGATTAATTTCAGAAAAAATGTGTGGTTAATTAGTTAATTTTTTTATCGATTGACTCTATACTGTTCCTGGCCTACTTCTTTTTGAAGACTAGAAATAAAAGATATCAAAGGGAAGGAAGTGCAGAAGTAGATTTATCTCTGAGTTTGCCATGAATGAAGATACACATGCCCATTTCAGCTACATTAGCTTTGGGTTGATAAGACATGCACAAATATTTGGATGTCAAAATAATGTCTTGAATCTGGAGCACTTCTCATTCAAAAGGTCCTTTGAGACTGCTGAAGTGAAGAAAATGAATACTTCTATGAAAAGCACTCATGCCGTATGCACAAGTGGCAGCGCTCTGATAAAAATTCAACAGCAAATCACATAAGAACATCAAGACTTTTCTTTGTGTTGCAATTGCTTCTATACACATTACTATAGTACACACATGTACTCGGCTGGATTTGCAACATGAACATAAAAACGAGATCAGTCACCTCGTTTTTCTCCAGACTGCACTCCTCCATCATTTTGTCACCCTGCTCTTGGAAGGTGATGATGATGAGGGCCACAAATATGTTGACGAAGAAGAAGGGAAACACCACAAAATAAATGATGTAAAAGATGGACATCTCCATTCTGTTTCCCTGACTGGGACCCCGGTCCTCCTCGGTCACATCCACAGAGTGCTGCAAAACTCTACAATACCAAAGAGTTTGTTAACAGACAAAACTTTATACATTTATCTATGATATATAGTATTTGGACACTTTTTGGCTGCCAAACATTAGTGGAACATGTGAATAGTTAATGTGATGAACCACATCTGTGGTTACTCTGCTAGGACACCTGTCCGAACTTGAGGGGAGCTGACTTCATACACATACTAAAATCACCTATAGACTAGTTGGTTTAAAATCACTGCAAAAAAAAAAAAAAAGTCTCAGAAAAGTGAGGTTAGTGCTCTAGCAACATTTGTTCAAACATGTCACTTGAATTGATATTAATCTAATGTAATGGGATTCACACAAGTGTGGCTTAAAGGTGCTGCAAGCAATGATTTTTGGAATATCAGATACAACAAAAGGTTACTGCATATTTAAAAAAAACTTCTTTAAAACACTATTTAAACATTCTGTTTACTAGTGTTATTACAGAAATCTTACCTGCTTTATTTATGTATGACTGAAAAATATGCATCAGTTCTACCCCTTTTTGCCTTGTTGAGCATTCAGGTTTGTTGGCAATGTATTATCTGACTTGTCTTAAGGCCCCGATATACTCAAAACAAAGTTATTTTTCGTTCTTCGTTTATGGGTAAAACGAAGTTCGAAATACGTGAGCAGTGGTATACTGCTATCGAACATCCCGACACCGCCCACTCTGATGAAAGCGCCGTTTATATGAATATGTAAATATGTGCTGCACGCTTTCCTCTCAGTAATAAAATAAACACAACAAAAATGGAGAGAACAGCAAGTATTTTTTTTATAAAAAGCTGTTCATAGCAACATGGCTATGTTTGCACAAGCTCTGCAAATTACCACCCCTGTGAAGTCACGTCAAGTGTATTTACATGGCACTTTATTTAATATATTGTTTAAAAGCAATCAGCAGTATTAAACATGAAAAACAGTGTCAGTGTCTCATTTCATCAGAAGCACAACTTAATTTGCTACTATAAAGAGGCTCTCCACTGCGATTATTGTTTTTACCCGTGGACATCTCATCTCCAAGGACTCGATAGACAAAATGAACCCAGAGAAGATTTCCTCGTGAAAGAAGGCGGAGCCTTAGCACACACCTCCTATGACGCAATCGTCACGGACCAGTGGTAGTACAAAGGTGTTTTGCAGCCGGAATGAACTTTTCTGGAGAATTTGCTTTGGCAAGCCATTTCGAACTCCCAAAACGAACTTTGTTTTTGCCGGATTTTGTTCGAAATGACGTCACATCATTTCGTTCTTCGATTTCGCTGGAAGTATATCGGGCCCTTTAGGAGGCATTTAGAAAGGGGGTGAGGTTGAAGGGATGGGAGCAGTTTAATTGTTGGAGGTTAGCAAATCGGCCAAAATTGTGTAAGTTGCCTCTACAATAGTGGTTCTCAACGAGGGGGGCTGTGGCCCACTATGGGGCATCACTGATTCTCCAGAGAGGCCATGAGATAAATTAAAATGAAATATATTCATATTATTCATTAATTTTACAATTTATATGTTAAATAAAAAAATTAACAAAGCACCACCTCTCTCTGCTACAAACAGCAGCTCAAAACACCCAACCACCGCAGGAGCATATGATACGCAAATTACAGCTCTTGGTTGGATAAAACAAACCAGTGTCGCACTAGTAAAGTTTTGATTGATGATGACTATAATCAAAGTACAGTGACATACAGGAGTCGTACATTAGGCGCACCTGAATCTGTTATTATTGATGCACAACCAAAACATGTGTGAGTGCTCTCATATCGTATTTCTGCATGAACACTGAAATATATACTAATAGCTGTCAAAATTAATGTACTTTGAGTGTTTAATAATGGATGCTCATCGAAGAAGTGTGTTTTGGAGAAGTTTGTGAGGATCAGTGGTGTTTATGTACATATGGGCATCAGACACTCCAAACATAGACACAACTGCTTGTTCTGACAGAGGAACTGTTCACTGGTGATGTCAACCCAGTTTCCACACATTAATTTTTATTTTTCATTTGTATTTTGGTGTGTTTAGTTCTGAAATTACTGTATAACTAAGCAGAGTAAGTACTTTTAAGTTTTTGCAAAATATGCATTGCTGTATTGATGTGGAGAGGAGAGGGGCCTTGAAGTAAAAAAGGTTGAGAACCACTGCTCTAGAAGGTGAAAATGTGAGTTTCTGAATATGCAAATATCAGCACAGCTTCTAGAAAGGTGTTAAGTAGAATGTTAATCTCCTTAAGGTGTTAATAAGTGTGTCAAAATGATACAGTGTGAAAACATATATAATAAAGTTGGCTCTTACTGCGGCCACCCTTCCCCAGTGGATACAGTGAAGAGAGTCAACAAAGCCCAGATGATGTTATCATAATGAAAATCACGTCTCTTCCACTCTCGTTTCTCCTTTTTCTTGTCTTTGTCATAGTCAATGTAGTAACCCCTATAAAACATTAAGAAAAAACATTTTCCACATCATTTGCAGAGAAGATTTTGCACTCCTAAAATCTCATTCTTCTATTCATAGCAGCAATGACATTTTCTAAAATCTTCTGAGCTTTGAATAATGTCTGAGCAGCTTTAAAATTAATTTTAGCATTATATTTAGAATTTATATTGCAGATGTAATGGGCACCCACTTGCACTCGTCTTCTGTGTCCTTGGAACTGTCAGTACAGTAGTAAAATTTCCCTTTGAAAAGTTGCACTGCAATGACTGCAAATATGAACATAAAGAGCTTGTAGACGATGAGGATGTTGAAGACATTCTTTAGTGATGTGACCACACAGTCAAACACAGCCTGCAAATCAAAAAGAGAGAAAGAACAATGAGAGATAATGACAATTTTATAATTTCTATTTAACTTTATTGTTATTTCATTTTTATTTTGGTAATTTTAGAACTTCAACTATTTTGCGTTTATGTTTTTCTTGTAATATTCATATTTTATTTCAGCTTTATAACTGAAATTATGCATGTACAAAAATATGGACTGACAAAAATCTATGTACAGTAAAACTGACTTATTTGACTATTCTTTGGTGATATTCTAAATATTTCAGTTGAGTGTTGTGCTAAAGTGTTATTGTAATGGTCAGTACAAAATTAAAGCAGTTAAAAAAGCTATCTTTTCCCAGCTGAGATATTTGCAACACTTAAGTCTCTAATGAAATTTGCTCTACTTTAGAAAAACAGTTGTCCGTCTGTCTCTTAAATCTGTCTCTCACACTTTATCACTTTGCCTCTTTTTTCCACACATTGCTGGCTCTTTCTCCACCTCTTACACCACAAACCCAAGATACACAAACACACACACACACTGAGAGCTCTGTCAGACTGTGAGGACTGGGAACTGAAAATACTAATGCAGTCTTTTCACACATGGCAAGAGAGTTTCATCACCTTCCCTCTTATCTCATTGATCTCATTCTGCTGCTTTGCTGACCACATTTGTCAAATAATCAACTTCAAATAATTCAAAATGAACAACGTAGATACACACACACTGTTCAACTAATCAAGTATTCAACTAATTGCCTAATCCAGTAATGTCTTACAATTCAACAAAGATTTGTACCCACACACACACACACACACACACACACACAGGGATCAAAAATATTTTTTTTAAATCTTTATTTTTTTAAAGAAACCTCTTATGCTCACCAAAGCTGAATTTATTTGATCAAAACTACATTAAAAACACATGATCCTTCAGAAATAATTCTACTATACTCATTTGTTGCTCAAGAAACATCTCTTATTATTATCAATGTTAAAAAAAGGAGTGCTGCTTAATGCTTTTGTGGAAACTGTGATACATTTTTTAGGATTCTTTGATGAATAGAAAGTTAAATAAAACAGCATTTATTTGAAATAGAAATCTTGTGTAACACTTCACTGTCATGTTTGATCAATTTAATGCATTCATAAAGAATAAAAGTATTAATTTCTTTCAAAACAAACAAACAAACAAACAAACCTTTTGACCCCTGACTTTTGAACGGTGGTGTATTCCTTTCATGTTCACATACCTTGAGTTTGGGAAGTCTTTTAATAGTCTTAAGAGGCCTCAATACTCTGAGAACACGGAGTGATTTGATGGTTTTAATGTCTCTTCCTGTGTTACTCCTGTATAGCATGAAAACATGTGTAACTAAATAAAAAAACTGTCCTACTTCTCATGTACAAATACAAACACACACACACACACATTATTATATGGCGCAAAATCACTAGAGAATGTGTTTACCCCATTACATTCCTGCCAGATGCCGTTAGCCACAATCCACAAGAAGACCAACAGAGAAAAAATGAGAAACAGACAGGCATTCTGAATCAAAGAGCTTCTCAATGAACAAAGAAGTGTTTTACACACACAACACAGAAAAGAGAGCATCAACTAACATCAATATGTGTCAAGAATTTGAAATGTCTGAATGTTTTTTCTCACATAAGTCATGTAGTTATCACACAACATTAATGGGATTTGAAGATGAATAACAAAACATTTGAGCAATGCACCTAAAAAGCTTCATCAATATGTATCAACTTTACCAACAAAATGCTAAATTACACCTGTTCATCATTTGACTTACGTGAGAGCAAAGGCCACCAGAGCTCCCACCACAACTATGAAGTCCAGAATGTTCCACAGGTCACGGAAATAGGAGCCATCGTGTAAGATCAAACCCTGCATAATCCAAAAAGGATTACAATGTCAGCATTAGCAAACACACAATTACAAAAGACTTAAGAGACATTAGCATTGTTTGTCATTGACTGTTAAATTTGAACAAGCCAGAATGTTGCTATTCTCACGATGGATCTACCAAGAAAGTCACAGCACTGACATTACCCTCACTGTATAGATTTAAATACAAGTTTGTGCATTTCTGAAAGGGAAATGGGTTTCTTCTTCAGCTTCTCAGTTTTCTACATCTAAAACATAGTTTTTGTAATTCGTTTACATACACGCAAGATCTCATCATCTATTACTGGAAGAGTCTTAGCATGTAATTAGCTGTGGTTTTACACAGCTGGTGCACTGTCACTAGGGAAATGTAAAACCTGCAACAAAAATCTAATTTCTATTAGCTTGCAAAAAATGCCAAACACTTCAAGACCATCAGGGAGCAATATCATCAGAACCAAAGAAACTCAAAAATCAATCTACTGTGTATTTATTTATATCATGGGGGAAGTCGTGGCCTAACGGTTAGAGAGTCGGACTCATAACCCAAAGGTTGTGGGTTCGAATCTCGTACCAGCAGGGATTGTAGGTGGGGGAGTGAATGTACAGCGCTCTCTTCCACCTTCAATACCACGACTGAGGTGCCCTTGAGCAAGGCACCGAACCCCCAACTGCTCCCCGGGCGCCGCAGCATAAATGGCTGCCCACTGCTCCGGGTGTGTGTTCACGGTTTGTGTGTGTTCACTGCTGTGTGTGTGCACTTTGGATGGGTAAATGCAGAGCACTAAATCCGAGTATGGGTCACCATACTCGGCCACATGTCACGTCACTTTCATCAAAAATGAAAGATTTTACATGGAAATAAATTCTCTTTTTTATTTGTTCAAAGTAACAGACAGATATTTCATTTGTAATGACACTGGGGAGTTATAACATGTCTTTTTAATCAACATTTTTACATTACATTTTCTATGCATGCATTATGAAAAGTGTTAGGTCAACATTTTTTTTTTTACAGTGACAAATGAAATTTTAAAAGCACAATTTTCCATTAAGTATCTCATTTAATATGAAGTCATGAAACTTGCATGCATTATAAAAGTATTAGGAAATTGCTGTTTACAGTAGTTTTAGATACAGCCTGTCATACTGCAGAACATGAAAATTACCCAGAAATATTAATGACAACTAATGATGGGTAATGGGTAAATTAACTAAGTTAAAGATACTCATCAATGTTAGTAAGTTTCCTTAGAAGCACTTAATAAAATATAAATGCAATTCTAATTTAGACCATCCGAGAACTGTAGCAGAACTATTTGCATATGGTTGTTGTATACACAATTTTTGAAAAATGGAGACATGGCAATGGAGGGGAATTCTTACTTTGTTCCTGTCCGAATTAGTGTTGACAGGGTCTTCAGCAGCCAAGGCGATACTGCTGGCAGCGATCACAAGAAGGATTGACATCTCAAAATAACGAAGATTGACAATATAGTGGCAGGCCCTGCGGACACTGTGAAAGAGATTCTATTCATAAAAAGAGAAAATATTCATAAAATATAGAATACAGCTGTGGCTACATAAAGATTCAGCCTTACGGGTTGTTGGGTTTGAAGATGAACATGCTGACAGGTGGAGGGGCTTCTGGTGCATCTGGGGTTTCCTCTTCTTTCTCTGGTTTTGAGGCCTCCACGTCTTTACTATTACCTGTAAAATCCAGGTATATATTAGAATTTGGGAGCTTTTACATGATGAACAATCTTATCTTATCACCATTTCTGAACAATCTTATCAGGCTATATGCACAACAAAGTTATAAATTATATATCCTGTGTTTTTTCTTTTCATTTGAAAACATTAAACAATATGTGCAAACAAAAATGTACAGAAAAAAAGCCTTCAACACAGAGCGCAGAGCGAATGGAAAAATGGCTATAAAGCACATACATATACACTCGAGTTGGCATGTGGTTATCGTGTTTGCATTGTTTCACATGTTCTTGTTGAAAAAAAACCCCCACATGTACTGTGCATGTACATGCTAAAGCATTTTTAGCGAGCTGAAAACGCCAGGCGCTCTTCTGAAAATGCCTAGCTGTGAACGCTTGCGAGCGCTATGGAGGCACTTTGGTTGCTGTGATAAAGAATAGCCACTGAAGTAATGTGGCAGACGCATCACGAATAAAATGTTGCATGCATTATTTTTAAAATAATGCATGCAACATTTCATATATCAATATTAACTTCTCCATTGTCGTTCAGTCGTAGTACAAGTAGGATGTGACAGTTGGTCAGTGTGTTTTTTGCCCCGCCCATCCTCCACTGTGATTGGACGGCTGACTGAAAACTGACAGTGAAGAGCGGTGCGTTTTGCCCAAAGCTGAACATTTATTAGCGCATTGTTGTACTGCTGATGTCTTAAAAAATGTGGCGCTCCCATTGAAAACTATTGATAAAATATGCTAGCCTCGAGAAAAAACGCTTTGGTGGATACACGGCCTTAGTCTGTTAACAATAAAGCCGGCAGCAGAGAAAGTGAGTGATCTCTCGGCCTCACTCGGGGTACATCTGTGCCTACCTGCAGTGAATGCAGTGATGTGCCGCTGTTTTTTCTTCATTCAACTAGAAAGACGTTTCGGTGTTTGTATTTCATATGATTCCTTATTTTAGTGATAACTCAGTTTCACTTGACAAATTTGTGTGCTCAGGATTTATCGGGGATTTAGGCTACTGCATTTACGGCCAGCAAAGCTGGAATTTGAATATTCGACTATTCGTGCACACCCCTAATATATATATAATATAAAAATATTGAATAGACATTACATATCATCTATCTATAATAAAAATATAATAGCTCAAATTAATTGTTATTTTTTATTTTTAGTGTTATTTTTATGTTTTCAACTCAGTATGACTTATTAAATGAAGACAACTAGGAGCTTGTTGCACAATATTACTAATATAGCTATTGCATAGATATTATATAGGATAAATATTATGTAGAAATACTTATGTAATAGGGATGCTCCGATCAGGATTTTTGCAGCCGATACGAGTACCGATTTCTTGTCATGGTGATCGACTGATACCGATGACGATTCTGATGCTTCAAGCTTTATATAATATATGTAATAATGTTATATAAATAATCACAAAAATGATTCCTTATACATTGAACATTTTAATATGCCTTTAAAATGGGGTTTATGCATAACATTATCAGGATACTTAATATAAGACAAAAATAAATACAAACACAATGGAGCAGTCTGATGCAGCCCACAAGGTTTATTTAAACATTATCCAACAGTAAACTGTGGAGGACAAAATAAACATTTAATCTCCTAAAATGGAGAAGTCTGATGTAACTTAAACATTGTCCAATAAAAGTCTGAGCAGGACAAAACTAAAGAACTAATTGGAGTAATTTGATGCAACTCATTAGGTTTAATTTAACATTGTCCAATGTTAGAGAGAGGACAAAATAAATAGAAACATTTAAACTCCAACATGGAAAAGTCTGATGTAACTCATAAGGTTTAATACTGTCCAATATAAGACTGAAGAGGAAAAAAGAAATAGAAATCTTTAAACTACTGAAAGAACAAAACAGTTCGGTCACGGTTATATCCACGGGCGCTGTGGATAATCCGCGGGTCGGGTAATAAAAAAATGCATTCTGATTATCCACCCGCAGGTGGATAAAATAAATCATAAATAATGCAAATATTAACTACATTTTTTTAAATAAATTTTTTCATCAGGCAGACGATTTCATTTGTGTGTGTGTGTGTGTTCGCCTGATCGGGAAGTTGCAGTGACAGAAATGGTGACATTACAGATAAAGTTTGAAAGAAGTAAAGCCTGTGTTAAAGCTATTGAGTAGGCTAATATGGCCAAAGAAGATATTTTGTTTTATAAATAAATGTTCATTTAAAAGCAGCCCACGATCAGCGAGTTATGTTACCGTTACCCCTTACGGCTCCGACGAGGTTTTGTTCCGTCCTCCACGCTGTGCCAACTCACAAAATACTATTTTAACCAAGCAGCGCGGAGAGCCTCTTCAGAAACGTGCCGCGGCTGGCTCATAAACACAAGCACTGACTAGAGCGGCCGCGATCAGCTCTGGTTCCCGTGGAGCCGTAACGCGCCGCAGACGTGTGCAGTGAGGTGCAGATCAGCTCTAACGTCACTGAGCCTGATGTTAAAAATGAACCATCCATTCATCATATCATCATGCAAAACATACACGACAAACAGCAAATTTTTCATAGTTTCTCAAACGTCATAACATTTCCACACCGGCGATGACATGACTCCGGCCGATCGATCGGAGCATCCCTATTATGTAATATTACATTATTATAATATTGTATTACATTAAGTATTATAGATCTTCTATAGAATATATTGGAATATATAAAATAGAAATAATTCATTTGCTAAAAATCTTTATGAAAAAAATTTGAGACTGTCCTTTTTGAGCATTAGAAAAACAATGGAGTCAAAGTCACAAGTCAAATCTGAGGATGAACTCATTTGGTGGTGTTACTACTAGGATTTTTAAGTAGCTTAGTCGGCAAAATGTTCTTTTGCTATCTGGCTTCATCAAAAAGAGCATGTTAATGGCCATGTCATTGCTAGTGAACAGCTTGGTTCTGCTGGTCTCCTCTAGCTAGACTAGCACCAATCCAGCACTAACCAACAACAATCAGTCTAGCTGGTCTTATCAGTAGGGTTATCAGAGGTGCAGGGATGCTCAAACCCGTAATGGAGGTCAGCTCCATGGATGGCTGAGTGTCGGTGACCTCTATCATGATGCTGGTGTTGAAGGAGGACTTATCCTGATTCAAGCATCCGTGGTTGTTATTATCGGTCTCGCCGGCACCCAAAGTTGCCTGTGGGGACTGCTGGAGAGTTCTGTCAGTGAGCTGTAGAGTTGCAGGTTCTGAGTCCTGAGGTGGGTTTTTGTGGGGGGAATTGGTTGGTTTGGTTTCTGATGATTCAGAGTTGTCTGGTTTGTTCTGCCTGTGGAAGGGGAGAAGTTAATAGCCGAATTTCTCTCTCCAGTCTTCCAACAAAGAATATTGTGTACTTGGCCATAAAAAATAGATAGGTATATGTGAAATTAATGTAAACTGTCACCATGATGTGATGTGAATAGAGCTGTTCAGTCATGATGTCAATTTGTAGATCAACTTGGAAGGCCAATTCGCTAGATTCCTCACAAAGTTCTAATGGGTTTTAGGAACAGCAGCTTTTGATTTATGAGTAAAATAGGTTCTGTGGTTAACATGACGTTCATGTTTGTTTTACATGGCAAAGCTGAATTTTCAGCACCCATTACTCCAGTCTTCAGTGTCACATGATCCTTCAATAATAATTTTAACATGCTGATGAAATGCTCAAGAAACATTTCTTATTATTATCAGTGTTGATAACAGTTGTGCTGCTTAATATTTTTGTCGAAACAATGATACACTGTTTTCAGGATTTTTTTATGAATAGAAAGTTCAAAAGAACAAAATATTTTTTGTAATATCATAAATGTCTTTTGATCAATGTAATTTGTCCTTGCTAAATAGAAGTAATACTTTTCTTTAGATAAATAAAATACTGTCCCCAAACTTTTGAACAGTTGTGTATATAAATTGATACAATTATATAAATCAAAAGAAATAATTAAACAAACTACCTCTGTTCAAGCACCCTGCCATCTGGACTGATCTCTCCATCATTCTTTGAATCCTTTTCATCTCCCTCATTCCATGGCCTTTGTTCTCTACTGTCAACACCACCGTCTCCTTGTTGTGTTTCTTTACCCCTGGCATCTGTTTGAGGTTCACGGTGGTGTGGGCGTCGGGGCCTGGGCCCCATATCAGGGGTCAGCGTGTCCCCCATCGCAGGAGGCCTGTACTTACGGACTGCCCGCTGCCGCCTGTTTCCATTCAGTCTGGGGCAATGGTTGTTGATGTCCAGAGTGCCCTCGGGTGAAGTCTTTGATTCAGACAGCTCTGTTAGGGGTAGGTTCAGTGTCACTGGGGGTTCAGGGAGGGATATGTCCACAGGCATTGGTGGCTCCGGTATTGGAATAGCTAAAGGGGGTTCAGGAATAGGAATGGACAGAGCTTGCTCATCCACGGGCATGTCCATAGCCATGGGTGGCTCTAAGGTAGCCTCCGGCATGGTGGTGGTTGTTGTGGTCTCGATGGCTATGCGCTTGCTGTTAGACGGAGATATCCCAGGCTTCTTGTGGTGAAGGCAGCCAGGTGGTCCATCGTGCTCCTCACTGGGGCTGCTGAAAAGGATCTCGCGGCTGGGCATCTGTCTGTGTCGGCGCAACTGGCTGGTCCTCTGCTCCCAAACTGACATGGTCAATCTCCTCCTTCTCTCTCTCCTGGACATGAAAGAGTTAGAGGCATTGAGTGGACGAGCATCAGCTAGACTCTCTGAATCCTCAAAGGAGTAAGCCGCACGGCTCCGGTGAATTGCACGCTTCCTGTACAGGTAGGTATATATATATAAATCAACAAAAATGTCCTTAAGATCAAAATGTTTTAGTTGATTTATTATTTGTTTGCTTCTTAGCTTCTAAAAAATGTATCTGAATTTGAAAATCTCAAAAATGAAACATTTACATTAATTATTGCTACCATGAGTTTTGGTCCATCAATATGTAAAATTAACAATTTACTTTTAGTTTAACTTTACCTTTGCAGTTTGAATGTTTGGTTTCTAAATTTATCTAGAATTTCAAAGGACTTGTGCTCTTAGCAGCCAATAATTCATTGTACAAAACACACCTGCCCATGTTGGAATACACTTGGGCAGCTTCTACCAAGTGACAGATGAATTTGCACCTAAGTAGATTTTGATTGGACAGATGACAAAAACAAAATTTCCTTTCTATTAAATGTTGAAAAGCCTATTTATATTGATATTCTAAATACATAATGTATATAGTGTTTACCCGAGCAAACCTGCGACCCACCAGTCGAGAACCACTGGCTTAGACCATTCAGTTGACAACTGGTTCAACATGAACATCTTACTAGTTAAGAAATATGTAGGGCACCGGCATCAAAAAAACAACATCATGGTGACCAGGTGTACTGGTCAGGTCAGCAGGGTAGCTGAATATGAGAATTGACGTATCTGTGGGCAAAATATTTAACAGACTGCTGTTAACAAGTACTCTGTAACACGTGGTAGAAAGGTTCCATTATTTTTTATTTTCATGACTTTGTATTTTTGTGTGACTGGAATTCATGGTCCAGCTTTTAAGGACAGCAGAGATGGAAAACAACTGGATAGAGTTGCAATATCAAAGTGAAAAACGAAACATAGAAAAAGAGTTGATTCAGAATGGAGAGAGAAAAAAGAGTGCAGGAAATATCATTGCAGGAAACTGATAAATCAAATTCCAACCAAAGATCAGACTTGAAAATGTGAAATCAGACATTTGATAAAGATGGTGGAACAGAAAGCTTCACCCAGATATATAAATTAGGCGGTGCTTAATTTTAAAATTGAAATAAACAGACTATTACTTACTGGTACTTGTACTCTTGTGTGGTCCGTGTAATCAATGAGCGATTGGTTGAAAACAAGACATTAGTGCTTTCGAGAACAAGGACAAAACAAGCCAAGCATCACAGCCTCTCCGCCTCCTGAGGAAAAAGAGAGAGGACACACAATAAGACTGGATGGCAAACTAAATGTTTAAACAGCCATGCCACAACAATTTTTTACATTACATTATCACTCATAAGCAGAACAAAACCCTTTCTACCCTTCTGAAAAGACCAACTTAGTCCAGTGGTTCTCAGTTGGTTTCGCATCAGAGCTCTATATTACATTGGACATCAAGTGAAAGAAAAGACTATATAAAAAAAAAAATAAATAAATATATAAAAAAAATTAATTTTAACATTGAAATAAACAGACTATTACTTACTGGTACTTGTACTCTTGTGTGGTCCGTGTAATCAATGAGCGATTGGTTGAAAACAAGACATTAGTGCTTTCAAGAACAAGGACAAAACAAGCCAAGCATCACAGCCCAAAAAGGTAATTGACTGAAGTCCAGACAAATACTGTTTTTCAGTAGCATTTCAATGCTCTACTACAGCCAATTTTTATATTTAACATAATATTGAACATTTAACATGTATTTATACTATTGCTGATAATAAACTAAAGTTAAAGTTTTAAAGTTTTAAGTTTTGGGCTGCGTAGCAGGGCAGCAAAGCGTCACATGACAACATGATGGTAATTATATTAGATAAGAAGCAACAAATACAGTATTCTGGAACATTTTGAAATGCTGAGACAGTAAGAAACATGGCACAGATATAACACATATAAAAATGGGATCCATATGCATAAGCACACAATATCAGAAAGAGAGAGCACCCTGATTCATTTCTTTAGTAATCAACTGGTCATACATATGCATTTCGCAGGGATGACGTCCATAGTTGTCATGCTAACTGAAGACATGCATTCATTTCCCAGTTCTCGTCAAGCAGTTTCGGACATGCTGCAACAGCCTTTTTTTTAACTTTGAAGTAAACATGCAAGATCCAAATGCCACAGGCCACAATTTCCAGACTGAGTTCACTGACAACCAGCTCTCACATTATCTCCCAAAATGCAGTAGAGAAGAGACCCTGTGGTATTCACATCATACCAATTTATTCTGACAAAGGCATGGCCTCCATTGCCTCATACAGAATGCTGTTTGTTTGGTTTTGTTTTCAGTAATTGTCCAGCAAACATGTATTATATTCGTCTCTCAGTAATGACAACAATGACAGTAAAGCCTCTTTTCTATACAATGACACTCATCACAAACATTGGTTATTAGGTATTTCAAATTGCGAGCATGCCAAAAAAAGTATATAAATATATATATTACAACAAATGTTTTCACAGGGTCCAAATATAACATTTGCCAAGCCCCAAATGAGAATAAAAACTGGATTTGAGGAAATCAAATTTGCCAATGGCTAGCAACTATAAGAAATTATGTATTATGTTGCAATTCAACTTAAACTGTAAGAATGATGTAAGAGATGTAAATTAATGTTTTAAATCAGAAAGATATAAACTATCTACTAAAATTCTCATGTATCCTCTAAAAACTTTAATCACAGTGGGAAACGTACCATTAGAAGTTTATCTAGGAAGCTGGGATGATTTTTTTTCTCCAGAACTCCATGTGACGACACAATATTTCTCTCATTAAGCCACCAAATGAACATAATAAAAAGACAATCACAATGTAGCTTAACATATTCATGACAGGTGCAGTTTCACAGTGAGATGAACACTGACTCATCTTGTACATGATAGTGTGAATGACACAAGATGCTGTTTGTGCTATTTGCCACTAAGAGGCAAGGAAAACAGCTAAATGAATCAATTGTCTTTAGGGATGTAACGATGCACGTAATGAGCTGGTTGAAAATCGATAAAAATAAGTGACGATTCAAGTTAGTTTATATGTTAAACGAATCGCGATACATTTGGGGGTGGGGGTTTATATGAATGTATCTCTGGGGGGAACTGACTGTATGGAGATAGAATTGTTTCATAATTCCAAATAAATAGATTATGACTCACAAATAAATGTAAAAAGATTAACAAAAATTAAACATATTGACAAACAAATAGAATGAGATCCACAAATCTTAGAGTTTCACAAACATGAATTAAATTCACAAATAAATATAATGAGATTTGCAAATTAAAAAAAACATTATCACAAATATATTTTTATGTTACAAACACAACTTTGCCTGGCATTCTTTTGTGAATCGCGTCCTGTACATTTGTAGATCGCTGCACGCATTTGTGGATCGCTTGCTGTGCATTTGTGAATGGCTTTCTGTGCATTTGTGGATTTTGAAACATTTCTAGCGTCAAGACGCTGACAAATACACAAATGCGTAGACTCCACCCACCGTCTACTTAAGCCAATCAGATAACAGCCACACTTCGCTGACACAATCGTAGCACGTTCTCGCTATAGCCAATCACATTTTGCTTTACAATCAGGGGGTCTTATCCTGAAATAACTTCATTCATCTGCACTGGCTCAAATAGGAAATATAAGGGCCATAAAAATTGGAGTTAAGTGAATTGTTACATCCCTTAATTGTCATATATATACACACACTCATGTATTATTTTTCTCATATCACTTGCCATAGGCAGGTGTGGCAAAAGGTTATTTTGGACCATGCTTTTACATTTCTTGACTGAAAACTTCACGCTTGACTTTTTCCCCTTTTAGTCACAGTACGTATTGGGTTCAGGAAGCAACCTATATATCACCTCCAGCATTAAATAACATGTTAGCAGAGGTGAATCCATGCTTACGGGGACTTTCATGATATATAACTGCTCTCAATTCAGCATCCAAAACTCACTCAAGTCACTAAATGTACTGTGCTATCAATAAAAAGCAAAAAACAAAAAACAAAACAGAAATTAGCTGCTAAAGCATCTATGATCAATCAAGAGATGTAAAGGTTATTGGATTGTAACGTTGAGGACACACTATGACTGGTCATCCCAACTTGCACATGCTCAACTCCAGGAGTCTGACATCACATCCATGCAGTGTTAAATTCCCAAAATCACAGAAAGATGCATCTGTGTGTGAACTCCAGTTATAGAAACTTTCATCTGCGAGTTAACCTCCCTTTTTAGCCATCAGATTCTCTTTATGTTTTGAGATTTAGGCTAGCTGGACGCCTCTTCTGTTCTTGCAAAGGATATAACATATCACTACATATCCAGGCTGACCAGTGTAAAGGCATTCAAAACTCTCTTTTTAATGTGAACAAAGTCGTCTCTATGACAACATAATAGACTCATCCTTGCAAAGACTGGGAAGCTTGCCGGTTGCTATGACAACTTGCTGTTGATTTTGAAGCAAATTATTGTGCTTCGAGAATAAAGAGCCCCAGAAATCCCTAAGCAATCAACCGAAGGAACATTGTGTACAACCTTCAACAATGGTAAACAATTTTGTTGGTCTCAAGTAACTGCCTCTCGCAAACTAGCTGGGAAAGTAAAACCCTCAAAGTTGTAATACTTTTTCTTTACAGTTTCTAAATTCTTCTCATTCAGCAAAATTTTGTGGCCTACCATTGAATAAATTCTACTTGGGTCAAATGTTTCCATATCAGCATTTAAGCTCAACAACTGTGTAACATTAGATTTAAACAGTACAGAGTGGAAGACATATCTGTAAAAGCAAAGACTTCAACTGTTTACATACTCTGGCAACCGTACAGCAATATCCCTGTAGACTCAAACTAGCGTGTGAATCTAAATCAATTTGGCCAGGTACTAAAGCTGCAAAGTCCTACAGGTATACTTGGCAGACATTTACTGTAATTTACTGTAGATGAAACAGTAACTGAAACCAGAATAACAATCTCAGACATAAGACTGGTGTTAGTAGTGTTAGTTGGTATGTTAGCATCTCTTGTGAGAGGGCGAACGAGCAGGCAAGGGTGTACTTGGTTCACTTACTCTGAGGACATGAAAGAGGACATTGGCCCAACCTCCTTGGCTTTCTGCAGGGCATGTTTCTGATTAAACGCCTCTTCCTCCTCCTCTTGATCCTTTGGAACAGTAAGGCGTTTTTCGTTATACAATTGCCTTGCAAATCCTTCAGCATATAAAGCTAAAAGAACCTTGCAGGATATACCTTTGTGAGCTCCTGGGCATTGGCCAAATTGTCAACAGCGATAGCCAAGAAGACGTTGAGCAGTGTATCTAACAATTTTGTCAAGAATTTTGGCTCAAAACAATGAGATATACAGCAATAACCACCAACACTAAGTACAGATTTAACCCTATATACAGTATATATACACTGTAGGTATTGGTGGTCATGGATAGAGAAAAAATAAACGTAGGATACAATTTCCAAACAAAGTCAGAACAATGAAGTAGACAGACGACCACATCCCAGACTTCACGCCACCTTGAGACCGGATGCCATTGTACATGACTTCATTCCAGTCCTCGCCAGTGAGAATCTACAAACACAGTGAACTTATTTCAGGACCACATGGAATCTGCATCTGAGTAACTCCACAGAGAGCTTTCCATATTTCAGCAGAATAATTTGACAGATGCTTCCCCTTGCATGTCTGTTTATTAAATATTTCAGCTAATTTGATGATCCTTTCAGCTACCACTGAAAGGGATACAAATAACATATTGTACCAAATGACACTCCTCAGAATTCCACTGATTTTCCCACAAATTTGACACAGAAACGAAATCTACAAATTTTGTTTTGGCCTAAAAGTATTTTTTCTGTGCTGGACCTATGTATATGTATTCATTTTCATCATTATAAAGGGAAGATAGATTCTGTTTTGTGACTAAGTATGTTTTTGTTCTGCGCTCTGATCCTAATTTCCTCTCTATCTGTGCAATTAAATCTTGGTCTAATTATTTAGCCTTCCTTCTAAGCCATTTTTCACCAAGAAACATCTGGAGTCTTGTATTATACTTCGATTACAACTGGGTGGAATCTTACTTGAAACACGGTCATGATGGCTGCTGGAAAAGTGTCAAAATTTGTGGGTGTGTAGTCTTCAAAGATGAACCTGTAAAGAAAGAGAAAAAAAAAATCTTTGCAAGCCATTTTATTCAATATGTCTGACCAGGTTACTGAATAATGTATTATTTGCTTTTCACCTACTGGTTGAACCTGATCTATTTTCTATTGTCTTGCCACACCTGTCACATAGAGTTATAGTTCCACTCCAAACATTATTTTTTTTGCATGCAATTTGATCCCATGTTTGATATGGACATGGTGGTGGACTTAACACTTTATTTTTGAGTCAGGATTAAAGCATTCTGAGGATTTAATATTGTTATTGCAAATGATATAAAGAGCAGCTCATAACTCTTTAATAAATAAGGTGTAGAATTCAGATATCTTCAGCCATAAATCCAAATTTAAAACTGTCTACAGGCATTGTCTGTGCTTAGACTGATAAGATATTACCTTCCACCAAAGAGCTGCATGCCCAGAAGTGCAAAGACCACAATGAAGAGGAAAAGCAGGAAGAGCAAACTAATAATGGACTTCATGGAGTTCATCAGAGACACAACCAGGTTCCTCAGGGACACCCAGTACCTTAACAACACATAAATACAGCATCTCTGAGTTCAAAATAGGGACATCCAGAACTGAGCAAAGACATCACAAGTCAATAAATAGATTATCGTCTCTGCAAGAAGCAAACAAACCAAGGAGACTTTTATTCCAGGCAAGCTTGCACTTACTTTGTGATCTTGAAAATTCTCAACAACCGCAAGGCACGCAGAACGCTGATCCCAAAGGATGTGCCAGGTCTGAAGAACCCCCAAAGCACCTCAAAAATACTGCCTACTATCACCTGGAAGGAATTAAGGAATTTCACCTCTTTAAATATGTCACTGATGTCACAAAATTCTGTCTATAGGTGCGGTCACATTAGCAAAATTGTTTAAAAATTTCACAGGCAAAAAAGGTCATTTTCTGTTGTCAGTTGTGTAGCGATGTATGGAGCACAACAAACACTCTCAAACCAAGCAGCGATATCTGTGGTGGGAAATATTTTGCATGGATTCCTACTGAAATGAATCCATAAAACTTCACCAAACAATGGTAAATGTGTCTGTCTGTCTGTCTGTCTGTCTATCTATCTAAAACATGAGATTTACTAATTAAAAAAAAAAATGTAACAGGAACTGTATGGAAAGGGCCAGTTACAAATGTTCTGATTAAATTAAAGATTAGCCAAAAGATAACCATTATATATTGACACTGTCCAGAACTAAAACTGAATTTTAATTAAATAAAGCTACGTATTGATATTCAGTGCTGGGTCCTCAAATTTACATAGAAATTAGAGACATGTTCATAGTGTTCATAGTGGAGAAGCGTAACTTCAAAAAAGATCAAATTAGATTTACAGTTTCATCTGCTCTTATTTCTTTGCACTGCTTTTATCTTTGTTGATAAAAAAAATGCCATGAACATTCATTTTTGGAGTCACCACCTTGATCCTCTTTGACACTTGCACTGTTGTACGTTTCAAAGAAGATTATGGAAAGGATGACAGAAATACACTTACCCCAAAATCAAAGCAGTTGAAGGAGGAGTGGAAATAGAGTCTGGGCCCAAGTCCATACATCTTGAGAAACATCTCTGTAAGAAACAGGCCTAGAAACAGGAACTCTGCAAAGTCTGCAACAGAAAGGAACCACTTTAAAGTTAAAACTATTGATCATGTATGACAGCATATACATAGAGTGAAAAGTTTCATTTTGCTTGTGGTCTTACAAAGGAGACTAGACAGCCACTGAGGCTGCTTGTGGTGTACGATGGCGACACAGAAAGTGTTGAGGGCCACCAGACTCAGAACGATCCAGTAGAAGGTGTGAGTCTTCACCATACGGCGAACGGAAATCCGTAGCATGCGTTCTTTCCGACGGAAATAGGACGTTGGTCCTCTTTTAGCACTGCGTATGCTGGCTCTGTTCAATGGCATCCCTGATGAACAAAAATATTTATGAACAAGCAAAACAACTTGATCCACATTTATACTTCTTGATTGAATAAGGAGATGATTTCAGCTGTATGTGAATGATATTCTGAAAACGTGCATATAATGACATGTGGGTAAATATTTTGCATCACCTAGACACGATATGAAGGAGACCTGGGGAGGAAGCCACTCACCTACAGACGATATGTCAGCATACTGTTCCTCTGGAGATCTCCGAACATCATCCACCCCTCTTCTCTTTATTGTGGTGGCTCTTTTTAGCACTGAGAACACACATACCAAATAATTTATCTTATTATCTTACTATCTCATCTTATATTTATTTTATTTCAAACTAAACAAATAACAGATTAATAAACCAAAAACTGTAAGAAATAAAAGCATATATGGGTTATAAAATATTGACAGTCACTTGATTTGCATTTCGGTCATGTCACGCTGGATAGCCCTGCCCATGTTGTGTCAGAAATTATTGTATTACAGGTTTCCAATTATAAATAAATAAAAATCATTCACATTTTTATGTAACTCCAAATGGTTATCACCTTACAAAAATCTATGTATATATATTTTTTATTTGTTTATTTAATCATTATTTAATCAGGGACAATACACTTAAATAATGCATAAAATCAATGTAAAATGTGCCAGGGTAGCTAATTTCCATCTGTAATCCTAGGGTAAGTTGAAAAGCCAAACTGAAGCTAAAGCAAATTATTAAAATATTATCTGGAAAATATTTACTTTTTGTGTTTCTTATTAATCAATGATACTAACTCATCATAAAGGTCAAATATGTTTTTTTGTTGAGTCATGCAGAATTTATGTTTTAAATGCCTACAGAGAAACTATGTATCACTGAAAACTTGATGCAGCCAGCTTAGGACATGATATGACAAATGTACAAACATCACTCTGTTGTAATCATTTACTTTTCAAGCATTTATAGAATATAACAGGCTAGACAGCAGCTACTGAAAGTGAAAAATGTAATCAAAGCATCTAGTCTAATAGCTTGCACTAACACTGTGTCTACACCGGACGCGAGCGGCGCGGCGCGGCGCGACGCGACAAAATACAATAGAACCTATTATGCTGTCTAAACTGCTGCTGCGTTCTATTTATGACATACTGACACAAATTTCAAATGATTTTCAACGGTTGCTTTGTAGACAGTCAAAGACAACGGTCAAAGTGTAGACAGACTTTAGCTGTTGCGGCGCGGTGTGGAGCGACACGACAACTGTCGCGTCCGGTGTAGACATGGTGTCAGGGATACATTCAATTGCAAATAAATCCGCTTGTTAGATTTCGCTGTTGTCATGGCAACAGTGAAGTAAATATGAATGCCTGCAATTACATTTTATGTTTTAAAATGTACAACTCCCTTCAGAGTGCAACCTGGATACCTACTGCTGTCAAACATCATATGCAAGGGCCAAAACCGGTCTCAGTCTCTCCTGACCCCCTAAAAATTATATAGGGCCCAGTTTTTTTAAGACAATCATCTTAAATGGGATGATGGGATGCATACAGGAGAACAGCAGGGGCAAAGAAATAAGAGTTCACCATGGTAACTGGCTGTTTTCCATTCACACAGCCTCTGGGAAGCTGTCAATCAACATTTAATAAAAAAATAAAATAAATAAATAAATAAAAACTTGTTTGATTCTGGGGAAAACCTGTCGCCTTGTACAGGGTTCGGATGTCATGTGGTGGGTTTTCGCTTCACAGATGTGCGCCATGAGCAGGATCATGGTGTTTTGTTTATTGTGACATCAGTCTATTGAATATACGATCTCTGTGCTGTTTTATGGGACCAGAACAGGCTTTATATGCCAGAACAGGCTATTGAATAAATGATGAAATCTGGGACAGAGAGAGAATGCGTATTTACTAGTGTGTTCAAAATAATCACATGACCCTAACTCTGACACATAATTAAAAAACTGCATCCCACAATCTACAGTACGTGGCAAAATGAGAGAAAAACAGCAGAGGTCAAACATCTTACCATCTAAAGCAGAAGGTCCTGAATTCTTGTTCTCCTCTGCAAGCATCACCTCCTCTGCAAAATAAAAACACATTTAAATTTAATCAAGTTGTGCACATACAATTCACTGAAAAACTGGCATTTAAAATCTAATTTAATCATGGATATTAACAGAAGGATTTTGCAAAATGTAAACAAAGAAACCAATGAATAAGAAATATTGAATATTTGTGACATCGATCATGTGCACTGCTTTTTACTAAGGTCAGATTTTTTTTTGCATTTGTTTTGCATGGTGCATTTGCCAGCCCATTATGTAAGAGTACCTGCACGGTCGATCCAGGCCCGATACCCATTCAGCTCCCTCTCGATCTGTTGCTGTCTTCTGAGCTTCATGAAGGCTCTTCGGTTCTCCACCCGCTCTCGCTCTTTAGCAAACTCCCTACATGAGCCAACAGCATACAATTACTCATACAGAGAACAACCACAGGGATGACACACTTAATTTATTAAAGTGTTTCACCTGCAGAGTGAAGGAATAAAAGGCAGAGAGAGAGAGGCTGCATCCCAATGTGCATCATTTTTTTTAATTTGAAATCACACCGACTTCAAACCATTAATCATTAGTCATTAATCATTAGTTGCATTTCCATTACAGATTTGCACGAAACTTTTGCAATATTTATGTCGATTAAAAAACGAAATGCCGGCATTTCCATTACCTGATGTTATGTGACTAAAACTTAATTTTTTCCTCTCGCGACAAGTCATGGTGACGGATGTTGGTAGGTTAATGTATAGAGCAGCCACCGCATTAGCCATTATTTTTAATCGAAGGAGATGAAGGCATGTATCTTTAGCGAAGCAGCGCAGAGAGCCGTTTCTGGAACATAGAACTGGTATAAACACAAGCATTGACTAGAGTGGCCGCGATCAGCTTCGGTGGCCGTGTCGGAGCCGTGATGCGCCGCAGATTTGTGCAGCATAAATAAGGGGTTATTCAAGCATTAACGGCAAGGAGCAGCCATGTATGAGGTGTTTCTTGGAGGTTATAGTACATTAAAGAATGATCATGTGACTTTTACATACACCAGGTGACCTGTAAATGCGAAAAACCTGTTTCCATTGCAGTTTTGCGAAATATTCCTTTTTCGAATTTCCTGAAAAACCACCTCATGCGAGTGTAAAAACTTTTTTGCGATATATGGGAGCTTTTGCGAAATTTATGTGTTTCCATTTGGCGTATTCTCAATTCGCAATTTCAATTTGCGCAATTTGAAGGGTAATGGAAACACAGCTATTGTTAAAGTGCAAGTGAAGCAGTCAGTCAAGTTTACAATCTATCTATCTATCTATCTATCTATCTATATTCTCCCTCACATATCTACGTCACTATGTGGGAATATTTGCTGCCCAAATGTCTACGTAAAGAAAGGTGTGGTTTCAGGTATCGCAGTAGTGTTGTTGCCTCCGTGTTATGGAGACACTGTGTGTTTCTATGCAAAAGCAAAATCACTTATTTGGCCTTTTGAAAGTGGATGCAATTAGAAATCAGTGGTTAAGATTTATTTACAACACTGTTCCAGAACAGTACAACTTACTATTGACTGCTCAAATGCGGAATATGATGATGTGTAGAGTGATGCATATTGTTTGTCGTTCTTACGATTACAAGTGCAGATATGGATTTATGTTTACAAACAAAGTATCCTCAGTCTTCTGTGCAAAAAGATGACAAACAGATGTACTACATGTTTTGTTTCACACTGGACGCTCAAGCAGAGCTGAAGCAGCACGCACCCTTTGTGCTTTTACACTGGCAGCGTCACATTCCACTCTGATTAGGGATGGGCGATACCCCTTATTTTGTTTTCGATACGATACCGACATTTTTCAAGGCAGTATCGTCGATATCGATACCGATTCGATACTTCTGCACTAAACTTTTAAATTATGAAATTTATTACATTATTAAATTACTAAGAGTAAAATGGGTAATGAAAACCACTTAACTTTATGTTTAAAACGCATTTTAACCCGTTTAATCCCAAATTTTTCCCAGACATGAAAATATCCAAATGATGTATCATTAGTAACCCTTTGAAATAATCAATAAATTTGTTTTTGTTTTTTTTTTGGAAAAGTGTGTGAAAAATTTTATTTTATGGTCAGTCACAATTGTAACCGGTGGGATAATGTGTATACTGAATTAACATATTTCTGCAGTCTTAAAAATTGTTATATATCTTAGCCCAGCTATTTTAAACTGTTTGATCACATTCTAGGGTCACTATTATGCATAAAAAACCCTTATACAACATTGATAGGAATACTGAGATCAAATACAAAAAAATACAACCATCAACGTATTTCAAAATTGTTACTTTTTTGTAACATATATCATCACATTTTTATATTAGTGCTACCAGTATTACAACATTAATATTCTAACTTATTTGTAACATTTGAACTTTTGATTTAGTGCAATATTTATACTGCCATTACCGACTGCCCGTGAATGGCTGTTGCATGCATAAAATGCAACCTTTTTATTCTGACAGTGTATGATTTCTATTAACATTACAGAATAGAACATGATCAATATTATCTTTCAACGTTCAATTTAAATAATTGTAATTGCACAAACTATGTAGGCTACAATTTCAATTTGTTTACTGTGAAATAACTCAAACATTTATGTTTTTTTTTCTGTCCTCTGATAAGCATTGTTCAGGGCTGCCATTCCCAAAAGCTTTAATGCTTTCTTATGATACTTTTGGGAAACGCAGCCCTGTTTGAATGCACTGTCAGCAGTGAGTGAATGCTCTCTGTGATTGATTGGTTCTGTCTTGCAACATTTGCGTGTGTTCAGATGAGCAGGAAAATAGTTCTATCCTACACAATTACTCGCTAACAAAGGTTATTCGTCCAATTCAATGCATATTGTACGCATTATTATTAGTATTGTTGTTAAATAAACAAAACCACTGGTAAATAAAATGCACCTTAGTATCGATATTTTTGTTTGAGTATCGATACTTTCGATACTCGCGTCAGTATCGATATATCGATACTTCGGATCGATACGCCCATCCCTAACTCTGATACGTTCTGCTCAAGCCATGCTTGCAAAGTTGGTTCCGATCGATCGGCTTGGTCATCTGCATTTTTAGAATCTGACTCGGGCTCGAACTGATATGGTAAAACTCAAAAAGGTACATGTGATGAGGGAGTTTCAGTAGAACAGTGAACTGCGGTCAGATGATATGTTGTCAGGCCATATGTCAGAAAAAAATAATTTTCTTGTCCTGTCAGCCATTATGCTGTGCTCATAGAGTGTGCTCTTCAACTGCACGTACAAATGCGGCGGCGTGCGCTGTAGCCTATGTCATTTCATATTAAAAGCGCAAATGAAACTACGAGCATGCAATGTCGTAGTTATGAATACAGAGAAATGAGATATGTGTAGAAAGAGAAACAGACAATGCCACGGTATGTGTAGTAACTTAATCTTACCTCTTGTCTCTAGAGATGACGTTAATACATCTCACATTAACCTCTAATAAAACTCATTACCCAGGGTCGGCTCAGACATCAGGTTAGACGTAGTGTCAGTTTGTCTTAGAGTCCATTGAGGAAAACAGTACTTACCCTGACAGGACTCCTAATACCAGATTCAACACAAAGAAGGAGCCAATTATTATTAGAGGAATGAAGTAGAGCCAATTCCAAGTAGAGCCTAAGGCATCGTTGGTCTGTGCAAACACAAAACAGGAAGTGATCAAAACAATTAAAATAATACATTATGATTTAAATTTTGCAGTAGCTCCTAAATCTACTTAATGCCTGGGTTGAAAGGGTCAGAAAACCATAAACCCTGCCCTTGTAATGGTGATGATTCCTTTGAGCTCTGCTCAGCAATGCAAAGGGTGTGATCACTCCGTGGGCAGGCGACATTGTTGCCCAGCTGAGCTGAGAGGGTGTTCCCCGCATCCCGACACAGCTGCGACAGCTCAGTTATGAGTGTGAAAAACACCTCTAACTGTGGCAGCATGACTCACGTCAACGCATGACACCATGTGACTGATTAAAAACACTGTGGACTTTTCCAGACATTCAAATTATGAGATCAAGATTTTTTTTAAATCATTTTAAAGTATTTGGGCCCACAAAGGATAATTTTCACCAGATAATTTTCCATGAAGTACCAGAAATCAATATTTTAAAGACACATTAAAAATCAAAAATTACAATTCTTCTTTTAATGGAATGGTGCGGTGTTACAACCCAAAAGTGGATGGCAGGTCTTTTTCGGTGCAAATTCATTTGGCACTTGGTAAAATCAGTCAATATAGACATGCCCTCATCCTCAAAAACCATGAATAAACAACAGAGGTACAAACAGTAACACCTCCAATCCTTCCAATTCCTTCAAACAAGGTCTCTATGCTTTCCCTTTGTTGTATAAATATTTTATCTCAAACTAAATGCATGAAAGTCTCAGTAAGTCCTCCTCCACAAAAATAACATATATAAAAAAAAAAAATGACATTCCATGCTCAGATACCAGCACTACGGGATGACAGTGAATTGTAGAGCCAACTCAGCATATAAATGGCACTAGTATGATCATAGTCAACCACCTAAACTAATTCCACCAAAAGCTCCAATAATCTGATGCAGAATAAAGACTGTGTCTAATGCCTCTCATTTTCCAGTACTTGGAGCTGTTTGGAGATAAAACCACTCTGACAAACCCTTCTAAATGTGACTTGTTATGAAAAGGGAGATGCTACTGTGCTTGAATAGGCTTGAAAGAAGTTCAGAAATCAGGGAAAAGCTACACAGTGTTGCATGCTATACAGTATGTACAACCAGTGTACGAATACGATAGGTCACAGATGGCTAGAATACGGAAAGAGGAAGTTCTTCAAACCTAAACTGCAACTATTTCAGCTAAAATGGACCAACTGTAAGTGCAATTTGATCATTCAAAATTCAAATTATTTATTTTCTTATTTAGGGGAGAACAGAAGGAACAGGATTAGGAAACAACGCAAATGTAAGATGCCAGCATGAACACAACAGATCAACGACTCCCAAAATCACGGTATCAACAAAAAGAAAAGGCAGGGTTTGAACTCATCCAACCAAAAGACTCAACCAGCTTCGAAACCAGCCATTAAAATGTATAAAATATGAAATACTACAAAGAAGCTAATGGCGCTGTTTCATCTGACAAACAAAATGTGGTAGATTAATGTTCAAGCAAGATCTCCTAAGGATGTCTTTAACATGAAGTAATGATTCAACACTGGATTACAATGGATTAAGATTATATTTTTATGTATTAGGGTTATAATACAGAAGCGTCATCATTTAGGGTGACCATACTTCCTCTTTTCCCTGGACATGTCCTGGCCAGGATTTCAGGTTCAGCGATAAGAGAGGAGACGGCTTATGCTTTTGAATCGCTCTCAATGTACTTTGATGTCATACACTGATTGTTCTGTGCAGCGCCGCTTCAGGTTGAACACACCTGACATCAGTAGGAAAACAAAGCCAAAATGCAGACATTTTAGGCAATTTAGAAGTCCTGGCCAGGACATGTCTGAGAGAAAGGGGAAGTATGGTCATCCTACATCATTTCAAGCACAGAAACAAAACTGCTACACATCAGTCAGCTGAGAGAGAAACTCACATTATAGAGTACAGCTGTCCAGCCTTCCATGGTGATACACTGGAAGACAGTGAGTATTGAAAATAAGATGTTATCAAACTGAGTGATGCCATCGTTGGGTCCGGGCCAGGGGCCGTAGCAGTTATAATTTTCAGGACAATTCTTGGCCCCACATGGGAAATCAATTTCAGATGAGTCTGCTCTCTCAGAGTCTGCATGAGATGAGAAAGACAAATAAATAAATAGCTTTTTTCATGAATTGCATATTGACTATATAAATTGTCAACTTTTTAATTTTTAATAATGTATCTGTGTCATTTTTCTGTTTGTTTTAGGGTGTACTCACACTAGGCGATCTGAACCGTGCCGGAGTGCGTTTGACCGGTTTGACTGGTTCGTTTGACTAGTGTGATCGCTCCGTCCTGCGTCCAGGCGTGGTTCATTTGGCCATCCCTGGTTCGCTTAGAAGAGGTGGGCCAGAGCACGGTTCAGTTGGGCTCGGAACAGCTACTATTTTGTGTGCGCTACTGTCATCATTACGACTGCAAACATCTTCTATTACTACTACTACAGTACGCTTTCAATTAATTTAATTAAATCAAGTATATTTAGGTTTATAACGGGTCTGGTTCTCACCATACTGATGAACAGGAATTGTAGTTTGTGAGTAAAGCTGCAAATTCTTTCATTAACCTCAGCTGCCTCTGTAATGACCCTCTGATACATGCAAGTGAAAATCGCTGCTCGGGATAAATGATAAATTTATTAGGCAGTCTATTAGCGAAAGTGGTTTTCTCCCTGTTATCTGCATGACGTAAGAGTGTTTAGTGCAAGTGTGCGTGTGCGTGTGCGTGCAGGCCAGTGGGGGAGTGGGGAGGTGGGATAATCGCGCTCGGTTCAAGGCAACTGTGCCTAGTGTGAGTACACCCTTACTGTTTGTTATCATGCAGCTAATAGAAGAGGCCAACAGAATTATGAAGTGTTTACTTCCTGTATGGGAGGAGCCAAGCCAAGCCTCTGATTGGCAGGTCTGTATGGACCCGTGAGGGATTGCCAAATTTTATTTTCTGCTCTTGCAAATGTGAATAATAATATTCTTGTCAATAGCAATCTTATATTTTGTTATTTAATAACATGCATGTGTATATAGTCCACTCAAAAATGAAAATTCATTTACTTTACCTCATGATTTTCCAAACCTTTATGACTTTCTTTTTTTCTGTGGAACAGAAAGGAAGATATTACAGGAATATTTAAGAATGTTGGTAACCAAATGGTTTTGGGTCCCATTGACTTTCGCTGTATAGACAAAAAAATACTTTGGAAGACAATGGGACCCAACTTAGACTCAACTTTGGTTACCAACATTCTTCAAAATATCTTCTTTTGTGTTCTACAGAAGAAAGAAATGCATAAAGATTTGAGAGGGGAGTAAATGATAACACAATTTAAATTTTTGGGTGGACTATCCTTTTAAGAAGACGGAGTTATTAGTGACCCAACTTTCACAAAAACCAAACCTTTTTTTTTTTTACTTCTGTTTCCATTTTTCGTCATTTTTGAGTATTCTAAAGATTTAAACATTTTGTTTGGATCCCAGCCATCTGACAAGAACATAAATGTAATAATTATTCATATTTCTGTACTCTACCTTTGTACTTATGTGGATGTGTGGGTCTGTGCATGTTCTTGTGTCTGTCGGAGTGTGATACTCTTTACCTGTAATGTTTGAATAAGCTACACATCTTTTGTGGAGTCTTCCACTGTAGAACTCTAGTCCGATAATAGCAAACATGAGAATGGCAAAAAACAGCAGCAGACCAATCTGTAGCAGTGGCACCATCGCCTTCATTATGGATTTAAGAACTATTTGCAGACCTTTAAAAAACATGAATATATATAGATATCAATAAACCTATCAACTACACATAAATATATCAAAATGTACTATTCATTCCTTCACATGTGGAAAAACTTTAACACTACAGCATCCACATGTAAAAGAACAACTATAACACTGTGTCCTAACCAAGTGCTATGTGACACATTAAAGGTACGTGGAGTAGGATTTTGGACCAATGAGATTTCTCTGTGCAGCTACCCAGATAATTAGACACCTAGCAACAAAGTAAATGCCTTGCATGTAGCTTGTTGCAGTTGTGACTGGATTTATGTCGTTTTGTCACTTTGCACCTGATTAGGAGGCAGTGTTATACTCCTCATTTCAAATGAAACAACACAATGTGTGATTAAGAACTTCATATAGAACCATAAACATACTAGGAATGCCAGAAACCAGTTTAAGGGGCCGTAATACCCTCACAGCCCTCAGCGTGCGCAGGTCTAATGAAATATTCATGTGGGCTCCTGCTGTGGCCAGAATCCTGTTAACAAAATAAAAACAAACATAGGTTAGACAAAGAAACTAAATCAGCAGGAATTATGCATGATATATGAATATATTTACAAATATGTTAATAGTAATGTTTTGTAAACTATGCAATCTCCATCATTAGTGACATGGTAATCGGCACACTAGTGATGACTCATAGTGATACTGTGGGTAAAGGGGAGTAATTAGAGCAGTGGTGCTAAATGCTTGTGGTCCCTAATGAGGTAATCCCTCTCAGTGAATGACAGCCAGCACACTTTCTTATAAGGGTCACTTCTGATTTACAGCTTCCTTCTAAGCACAAGTGATATTCATCAGGCGTGACCAATGAGTCATCTCTGTCTTTCATTCCACACGTTTGTTCACGTATAGCCACACACACACACACACACACACACACTCCAACATAAAACATTTTTGGAATCTGCATCTGAAATAGCATTTAGATGTATGTACACAGTTTAATGTAGGCCTATCTCATAGGGGACATGGATGCCTTTAACCTGCAGTTACAGATGGATAAATAATGTTTTGTTTTTAACATAAAACGTTGAATACTGATATTTGAAATGATTTAAAACATGAAAAAAATAAAACCGCCAGTAGGTGGCAGCAAGTGACTGTTAATGAGTGAGTCATTCAACCGATTCGTTCAAAAAGCTGATTCATTCAATAAGTAAACACAGTGACGCAAAACAGTGCTGTGATCTTCGTTTGGAACTATTTTCGTTGGCAAAATTTAGCAAAAACAAGCAACATTATGTCTAAAATGTAAGTCACTTATTGCTTTACTGAACTTGTATAAAATGATTATTAAATTAAAGTGAAGTGACATGTGGCCAAGTATGGTTACCCATACTCGAAATTAGTGCTCTGCATTTAACCCATCCTAAGTGCACACACACAGCAGTGAACACACACACACCGTGAACACACACCCGGAGCAGTGGGCAGCCATTTATGCTGCGGCGCCCGGGGAGCAGTTGGGGGTTCGGTGCCTTGCTCAAGGGCACCTCAGTCGTGGTTTTGAAGGTGGAAGAGAGCGCTCTATGAATGTAGCGTACATTCACTCCCTCCACCTACAATCCCTGCCGGTATGAGACTCGAACCCGCAACCTTTGGGTTACGAGTCCGACTCTCTAACCATTAGGCCACGACTTCCCCCGTTGAATGTGTTATCATGCTAATATCTTCAGAAAAACGGTACTCCTTGTGTGATGTAGATTAAGTTAACTATAGCCTATTCAATTATATAAATATAAAAAGCATACAGAAGCATTTTTGCCGTCTACAGTTTAGAATGCCCGGAATTTAGAGTTTTAATAGACTAATAAATCAACGTGCGTGCACTCTGTGTGTGTGATTTGGTGATATAACGTTAGTCTACTTGATAATGTCAGATCGCACATCATTAAAACAACACTTACCATATTACCGTAGAAGATATACTGTATATCGCACACCCCAGATTCGACTTGAGTGGAAAATGAAATCACCCGCGGTTGTGCGCACACTTGTTTGCACAATAGCAAAGGTGTTTTTTAGGAGTCTAACTTACAAGCGCCAGACCACTGATTCATCAAACCTGCTTGCTTGCAGTTTGTGTTCTTCTGACTATTTTGTAGTAAGTAACGAATATGCCTTGGGGAAATGTATCGGAGTAAAAGTATACATTTTAATTAGGAAATGTAGTGGAGTAAAAGTAAAAGTCGGCTGAAATATAAAAACTCAAGTAAAGTACAGATACTCCCAAAAAATACTTAAGTACTGTAACGAAGTATTATTACTCTTACATTACACCACTGCACACACACACACACACACACACACACACAGACAGGAGCACACAACTTTAATATATGGAGAAACCTGATATTTCATATTTGTGTTACAGTAATAAGAAGCCAGTTGGAACAGATGTGACACTCAATGGATTTAAAGGGACAGCTCACCTAAAAATGAAAATTCATGAAAATCATTTATTCACCCTCTTTTTGTTCCATACTCATATAACTCTATTTCTATTGATTCTAGATGTGTATCATTTCATATATGTACCTTGTATATGTGGATGTGTCTTTACTTATTATTTATTTTCCCCAGAATTAGCCAATTCTGAAAAAAAAAAAAAAAGAATAACAGCAACAAAAAACCACAACCATTTCTTGGGGAAAATTTGAGGTGTCTATAATTAAAAAGTCTATAGATACTATATTAAGAACAATTTTTGCATATACTGTATACTATGTATTTTCATTTTCATTTTAACCCTCTGGGGTCTGAGGGGGTTTATGCATGGTTAGTGAAAAAAGTATTTTTTAAGTCACTAATATAAGGCCATAAAACACATACAGAACATTTGTTTGCAAGACTTTTGAGAAAATGATGTGGTAGAACATTTGTTCACAAGACTTTTGAGAACTGGATGTGGTAGACTAGAGTTTTTGCTACATAGGCCGCATTTACACTGCATGGTTCAAGTGGCCCAATTCAGATTTTTTTCTCCCATATGGCAAAGATCTGATATGGCCCACAAACGTGTAAGCAGGAAAAAGCACATGGATATTCTCAGATCGTAGTCCTCATTCATATGTGGAAATAAATATGAATTGGATACGTGCATTTGCACCTGCCCTGTAAGCGCACAGATCGGATATTACTGTTAATGCGAGTTGCATGTCAAATGTTTTTGAAACAGCTCGGTGGTGCAGATATATGTATTACAAATGAAACATCTCTAGTTGACTAGCAGAGTATTAATTTTGTTCGTTTGTGTTAAGTAAGAGGCGATCTGGCGCTGAAATGTGTTGATTTTAAAATCATGCTGATTGCTCATTGCTGTTATCAGTGATGGTGGCCTGTGCACATACGAGCGCTTCAATCTATTGCTAACTGTTGTGGAGACTCTCTATTCATTCAGGTGAAATCACAAAATAAAATGCACAAAAACATGTCCCTGCTCTTGATATACAATCACTGATGAACACATTTGGTTTTAATGAGGAAAAAAACTATACGAGGGCAGATTAGAACCCAGAACCGCTAATATGCATAGCACAAGTTCAATCCACATATTTACAGTGGATCTGTGTATATAATCACTGTCGTGAAGTATCAGTTGTAATTAATGATTTTGATGTAAGGATGAAACTATCACATTAAAAAAGTTCCTACGAGTTCTGTCAATAAGTTAAAATCATTGCATTCATATTCGGGATTCATCTGCTTTTCATAGTATGCTTTGTTGATAAAGTGTGTGCAGAGTTTGGTCACTCTCTAATGCATTGAGTCACGTTAAGCGTTGTTTAAGTTAAGCCCGTGTAGTCTAAATGCAGATATCGGATATGAGTTACTTTTAAAAGGTATAAGCAGTTCATCAAAAATATCGGATATAGTCCAAAAAAATCTGATCTGGGCATCCAGATTTGCAGTGTAAATGCGGCCAAAATGATGTGAAAAATCATCCTGCTCGCTCATTCACAGAAAACTATATATTGATCTAACTTTTGTAAAACATGTTTTGTGTTAGAAAGGCTGTATGCGAGGGAGTGACAATGACCATGAATATTTATGTGATTCGCACCTTAGAGACAAAGGACCCTCCCCTAATGGCACATCAGAGTGGCCACAGTTCTTGCACTGTTTTGATTGTATGCAGCAACGCTGCATTGTTTTGACAATACGAATGTACACATATTTGTCATGCCAATAAAGCACCTAAACTGTGAGAATGTGACTGTGAGGCAGGTAAGAAATTTTTTTGTTGTTTGTTTTTATTGTTTCGATTTTATTTACAACACAATATAATCAAAATATACATAATGAAGGTCAAAGTTACATTATTGAGCACACTGATCTAAACACAGAGACTTGAACAGACTTTGTGCTATTCTGAAAACAGATCCTGTTCAACTGTTGAAACAAGTAAACCATACCTGCTATTTCCAAGGTGTTTGCTGCTTCTTTTCCATGCATTCAAGAAAAAAAAAGCCCCATCATGGAGCTTATTTTACCACGTTCATGAAGAATATCACCCCAATGTAGTTGAACATCTGATGTTGGTACATCACTTTCAGACATAAACAGTTTGAAGAGACTCATGAGAAAATCAGCAGGACTCATCTGCTCAAAAAACAAAAAACAAAACAGTGAGCATGTTGATATCAGAAGCAACTATATTATTACATTAGCAATCATTAATATTGCCCACTCATAACAAAAAAACATGATTTTGTAGTCATAGACACATATGATCTGTATGTATTATCAAACAGTACAAAAAGGACATTTTATATCAGAGAAACTAAATTATTAACATGCATCATGTTACAGTGTAAACACTCATATTACTTTGTATTGTTACTATCATATTGTGTTTTACATCATAGAGCATAAAAACATCCTCACCTCATACAACATTTAGATGCAATGAAATATTTCAAAATGTTGCACTCGATTTCACACATTTTACTCTGGGATTATAGTTTGGGAAAAGTTCAACTAGTAAAATGTGTACAAGTTTATGCCACAATAACACTAATATAAGTAAGAATAAATGACTTACTCATCAGAATGATCTCCTCCACTGGATCAAGCGCGCGTCACATCACATTCTTCTTCTGAGGTAAATACAAGGCTTATTCCTCTCTGCGCGCCTTCTTCCAAAAATGAAAAGTTGCTGCTTTGTTTACGTAGGTGAGGGGGGTGTTTACATGTTCGCATATCTCACGTCGATGATTACTGTATGAATAGCACGCGCTGCACGTGGGTGTGACCACATAACAGATAATGAGCTCAGACGGGAAAGACTATATCTTCCGTTGGTTTCAAATGGATTATTTTATTAGAGAATATTTGTTTTTGATATAACTTACTTCATTTAAAAGTAGACACTTCAAGCTTTCTGTGGGCTTTCATGTCGGTGTGTCAAGTATTCGCTGAGTTTCAGTTAGTGATGTGTTTCAGAAAGAAGATCGTGGAGACCGAGACGGC